GATAGATAGATAGATAGATAGATAGATAGATAGATAGATAGATAGATAGATAGATGCTCTTGCCAGGAAGGGAGACCTCCTGGGGCTGGACCGGGAGGATCTGAAAATCGGGGGAGAACCAGTAGATGAATTTCCCACTTTCTGTGGAGACTGAATTCTCCTCTGGGTGGGAACCTGGGACTGGGGCGATGGGTTAGGCCGGGTCTTTCCAAAGGCTGGAGTTACTGATGATGTTCCCTAGCTGGGCAAGGAAACGTCTGCAGGCAAACAACCAAGCCCGGAGAGCCCCAGGCACTCCGCAGTTCAACCCTGAGCTACAGAGATTCTCTTCTCTTGGACATTTCTGTGAAGTTTTTGTTTTGTTTTTTAAATTGGTTTTATAGTGTATTGTTTCAGTGTTGACTGTATGCTTCCAGTAACTGGAGTGCACCGAATATGGAGTTTTATTTATCTCTGGTGCTATGCTTTATATTATATCGTTATTTGTGTTTTAGACTCAGCACTTTCAATCTTATTTATAGGTAGTTTTCGGGTTACAGCTGTTCGTTCAGCGACCGTTCAAAGTTACCACGCTGCTGGATGAATGGTACTTAGGGCCGGTCCTCAGAGTTCCAGCCATTGCAGCACCCTCAAAATTTGGGCGCTTGGCAACCAGCCCTCATATACGACCAGTCACAGCGTCCCACAGTCCCGCTCTCCTGCCCTGCAGAAACTGCCTCTGCTTCAGCTTCCCCCACCCGCCTGTCTTCCCCCCATCTCTGCCCTTTTGGCCGCCCTGCATTCCACCACCTATCCTGCCGCTGCCACCCCCAGCTGCCCTTCACCGTATCCTTCCTTCGCTGCTGGCCTGGGGTCCAGGTGCTGGGTGAAGGCGCGGTCCCGGGATGCGCACGGCAGGCTGGCAGAGCCTTGTCTGCCAAAGGGAGCTTGCCAGGCCCGGCTGGGAGGAGGCAGCAGGACGGAGCCGGTGGAGGAGGCAGGGGGGCGGTGTGGGCGGAGGAGCCCCATCTTCCGCTGCCAGCGCAAGGAGCGATAGTCCACAGAGCACGGAGAGTGCAGCGGGCCAGGCCAGCGAGGGCAGGGTGCTCCGTCGCCAGGAGAGGCGGCAGCAGCTCCCCGGGTGAAGGTGGCAGCTGCGCAGGAGGTGCTGGTTCGGGGGGTGGCGGAACTGGCAGAAGCAGAGGGATGGGGGCTTCCTGGAGGCGCCGCGCACACTCCGCAGCCGCGTTGGAAGAAGACGGCGAGGGTCAGCCGGGGGCGGCAGGGGTAGGCGGCAGAGTGCAGGGCCGACAAAAGGGCAGCGATGGGGGGAGTTGAAGCCGAGGCAGTTCGTGCAGGGCAGGAGCAACGTGAGGTCCTCAGTCAACAATCACAATCGGGACTGCCGTCGCCAAGCAGAGCAGTTATGTGATGTTTTGTTCAACAACCAGTACACTTCAGGATGGGAATTCCGGTCCCGGTTAGGGTCGTAACCCAAGGACTACCTGTGCATAAATATGGTAGTTGATTTTGACTGAAGAAGCACATAAATCCTGAGAATGAAATAAAATGCAAACGATGGTTAAATGCACAGACTAACAAGTGCCAGCACTGCTCTGAAGGGTTTTTGATTATTTTTTTTGTTTGCTTTTTTAAAAAAAGCAACGGCTGGGAAAGTAGATCATAGAGAGATCAACCCGGGAGAATTGACAAAATTACTTGGAATTTTCTTCTTCGCCAGCCTGTCAGGAAAAACCATTCAGGTGAAAAAGAGCCAGTAATGCATTGCTGCACGTGAGGCGCAGATTTACCGTTGCAGAGTAAGAGATTTGTCTTTTAAGACAAGGTTTATCTTCTGTCTACTTTCCCTCTGGAAATAAAGAATTATTCAAAACTCTTCCTATTTAAATCAATTGCGAACCTTGCAACGTTTGCTCTAAAGTCTGGTTGATGGTCTGGTGAATTTCAGATCAAAATAAGTCAATAGTTGGGAAATCCTGAAGATACAAGTTGGAAAGAGTGCCACGGTGTGTTGAACACTCCCCTGTAAATAGGAAACTTCCGATGAGCGGGCTGAAATCTTTCTCCTGGGGGTGCTTGCTTTCTGTTTTACATAGGTGGTTGGTTTTAATTTGTCGGAGCATTGAAAAAGGATTGCCCCCCCCCCCCCCCCGCCTTTGCCAGGCCAAAGGGGGATCCGTCTGTGCCGCAGCTCATGGTTCTGAATCTGTAAACTCGGTTTCTGGCAGGGATGAGAAATCGAGGGATGGCTCCTGTGGAATCTCCAATTCCAAGATTTGCTGCATTTCTTCTCTTCGGCTCACACGTCTCCTTATTCTTGCAGGCTGTATGGCCGAGAGGCTGAAGGAGAAAATTTTGGACCAGGAGAAGCTAGTAGATATTGTAGCCGGCCCAGATGCTTACCGTGACCTGCCCCGGCTCTTGGCTGTGGCTGAATCCGGCCAGCAGGCTGCCAACGTCCTGCTCTCTCTGGATGAGACTTACGCAGACATTTTGCCAGTCCACCTGAACCCTGGCGCGACCACAGCCTTTGTGTAAGAGGAAAACCGGTTTGTTGCTGCTTTGATCTGACTTGGGAGCCAGGAAGGTGGGATCCAACGGGGTGGGAAGTGCCCGAGATTTGGTCTCAAATAGAATGAAGCCTTGACTGAATGGGCTGCTGGTGAGAGAGGCGTCCGTTGAGCCTGTGTCTGTTAAAAGGTCCTCTGCGCTGTGATGCGTAATTGTCCGAATATGCGTTGGGTCTCTCAGACTGGCAAGCTCAGGGAAATAGCTGCCATATTCCCCCGCTAATATCTCCCATTGCTGGGAAGGGAAGCAAGATTCTCGTCTGATCCTCTACTCTGCCCCCGACTCTCCCCGTAACCCTCTCCCGCTCTCTTGGAATTGCTCCCCCCCCACAGGTCCATCATGCGCGGCTGTGACAACATGTGCAGCTACTGCATTGTCCCCTTCACCCGCGGGCGCGAACGGAGCCGGCCCTTAGCCTCAATTCTCCAGGAGGTGCAGATGCTCTCGGACCAGGTAGGAGCGACTCGACTGGTGCTGCTTCAGAATGCCTGTGCGTGCCCCGTGGCCAGAGTTGCCTGGACTGTTCGATTAGAGCAGTGCTGTTCAAACTTGGCCACTTTGAGATGCGTGGACTTCCTCCCCCCCCTCCCCCCCAGTATCTGCAGTATCTATCAACCATCAATCCATCTGTCTACCTATCTGGTAGATTTATGTAACCACCCATCTCACCTGTGTAGCTCTGGGCGGTGTGAAGTTACAAACACAACAACAGTACAACAAAATAACCAAAAATCATAACCACAAAAACCTTAAAAGCACTAAAAAGCACTAAAAAATCCTGAGCTGGAAACACCCCACCAAGGGAAGGGCAGTGGAGGCTGCCAGAGGCAGGGTGGGGGAGGGGGGGCTTCTCCGGGAAGTGTTGGGTGCCCTCTGGTGTCTTTGGGAGCTGGTGCAGCCCGTTCCTCTCTCTGGGCGTTTGTGTGGGCCGTCCATTGGTTTGTTTCGAAGTGCCTGCTCTGTGCTCCAGAGGGGCAGTGGATTGTATCCGTTACATATCTTTTCCCCACCGTGGGGAAGAATGAAGTTGCGTTTTATTGTTTTCCCTGTCTTCTCGTTCCTTTTAAAGCGTCTCTTAATAATTATTAACTTTCTGGTAAGTATGCGGTCTGCCCGTGATGGCTGAACGAACTGATAAATAAGCAGGCAAGTCCCCCCGGGGGGGGGTTCCCCCCCCCCCCCCCCCCCCCCC